GTAACTCTGTGATAAAGTGTCCCTGGGTATGATCTCTAGAACCATAAGAGGAATACATGGTACAGACACTCAATAATGAAATATCCATGATATATATCTCATGAAAAACAATGGTAGACATGGAAAAAAAATAGGAGCATTAACAACAACAACAACAACAACAACAAAACAACCCAAAAAACAAAAACAGCAACAAAACAAACAAATAAAAAACAAAAAGAAGGAAAGCAGAGCAAAGGTAAAAATATCTACTACCATTTCTTCAGAAACAATATGATCCAGATAATAATAGAATATTTCTTTAGTGTGTAGAAAATAACCCTCTGCAAAGAAATTCAAACCTAACTATAGCAAAATACACAAAGAACAATGAACAAACAAAATGCCCCATCTCCCATGCCACCCTCGAAGCACGTACACCCTTCAAGTTTTCAAAGTATTTAACCAAAATAAGTAGGAAAACAGATTTTTAAAAAAAAGCTTGTAGGAAATGTTCATTGCAATGTTATTCATACTAGCAAAAAAGTGGAAATAATACAAGTATTTATCAAATAACAAAAACAAATTGTGATGTAACTGCTACGGTTGGGAAGTGTCCACAAAGGCCTGTGAGTTAACGGCTTGGTTGCCAGCCTGTCTTCCTATTGGTAGGTGGTGAAAGGTTTAGGAGGTGGGGCTTAGTCAAGGGAAGTTAGGTCATGGGTGATGTACCCTTAGAGGGGATATTGGGATCCTCGAACCCTTCCTCTCTGCTTTCCAGCCTTCAGGAGATAAGCAGTTTCTTCTGCCATGTATTTCTTCCATGATGAACTAACTGCCTTACCATAGACCCCAAAACAGAGGAGCCACTGACCATGGACTGAAACCTCTGATACCATGAGAATAAATCCTTGTAAGTTGATATCTTGGGTATTTTTTTTTCTCCAGTGACAGACAGCAGACTAATACAACCACATGTTGGAATACTATTCAGCAATAAAAATGAACAAGCTATTGAAACATGCAACAACATAGATAGATCTAGTGGTAAATGTTTAATGACTGGCTCTACAGCCACAAATTCAAAAAGTTCTGATTTGTAGTGTTTGCTGATTTCCATGGTATAATTACTCCCACCATGGCCAATTTCAAGCTATCAATAAACATGGAATTGAGAAGAGATGCACAGTAGCACATCATTATACAGGGACAATGGATATATGTAACTTCAAGAAAAATTGATAATGAAATGTAGGAAAATAATTAGGAACTCGTATTTTGAGTATTACCTTTGCTTTTAATATAAGTTATTTCATTGCAAGTTTATGTAATTTAATTTTTAATAATAGTTGTTTTTAATAACCGCTTTCAAAATTCCTAAAAAATTCAGCTCCTACTTCTTGTGAACTGGTATGGATGGGCCAGTTCCAGAACCGTACTTGATGAACCTCAAAAACAGTATGCTGAGTGACAGAAGCCAGTCAGGAAAGAGTAATTGAAAAGTACAATTCAATTTAATTTACATGAATCTTTATAGTAGGCAAAACAATCTATTGCAGAATATTGATGTCTCTTGGCTTTGGATAGTCAATGAGACTGACAAGGGACAAAAAGGAACATTCCTGGATGTTGGAAAATTTCTGTATCATAATGAGATGTACTTTTTAAAAATCAGATTCTCTGTACACTTAGGATCATTGCATTCATTTGCATGCGAGCTGTATCTGAATAATAAGAAAAGTAAAATGAATTCAGACAGACTAATAATAAGTTAGCAAAATGGGAGCACACACACACACACACACACACACACAAACACACACATACAATATCAGGCAAACAAAAATGAAGGCCTACCACAAGCAAGGAACATGGTGGTGTGAAGAATCTGGTGTATATGGAAAATCCTATTGGTTCTATATGTCTGGAGCATAAGGTTTCATGAGGAGATGTCCATGTTGGGGCTTGGCCAGGAATGACTTTATGTAGTGATTCATGTTAGGGCCCCTGCTTTGTAAACCTTAACAATTATTATTATTATTTTTTTTTGTAAAAAAGCCAGTTACGAAAGCTTTTAGGTTTGCTGGTCACATACAGATTTTGTCACATCATCCTTTTGTTCTTCTATTTTCTTTCTTTTTTATTTGCAAGTCTTTCCATATATAAAAGGGTTGCTCTATTCTGCTTTTTCATTGCTGTGACCTAAAGATCTGACAAGAATAATGTTAGAGGGGGAAAAGTTTCTTTGGCACTCATAGCTTCAGAGGTCTCAGTCCACAGATGGCCAGCTCAGTTGCTCTGGGCCCAAGGTGAGACAGAACATCATAATGGAAGGGTGTAGCAGAGGAAAGTAACTCAGAACATGACCACTAGGAAGGGAGGGGGGTGGAGGGAGGCGTGCACTCTGCTCTGCTCACCTGAGACAAAATATGTATTCCAAAGACAAATCCTATGACCTACCTCCTTCAGCCACATCCTACTGGCCTATAGTTACCACCCAGTTAATTCATTCAAGTGGATTAACACACCAGTTAGGTTAAGGCTTTTATAACCTGATCACATCACCTCTAAACTTTCTTACATTGTCTTACGCATGAGTTTTTTGGGGAACACCTCATATCTAAACCAAAATAGTTTAAAAAAAACAGTAGAGGGGATTTGGTCTGCAAGCTGTAGTTTGCCAATCTCTGTGCTATACTAAGTACCTTGGGTATACAAAGGAGGTCCCTCCAACCAGAATCACTACACAAGTACTACAAGATTTGGTAGATTATAAAATGTTGAGAGTGCACATAAGATGAAAATGATTAATTTGTCCTGGGGCAATTCTTCTTAAGAGGAGGTGGCGTTCAAATTGAGATTGGAGGATGAGAGACGGTTTGCAAGGAGAAAACAAGTTAAGGGAGAGAAGTTTCTATTGAAAGTCAGGTTCTATCACTTGGTAGTCATCTGACATAGGGTAACGCTTTCTTGGTCCCGAATTTCTTTATCTTTAGATTGTTTCTATAATACCTATCCTTCTGACTTTGGAAAGAAATACAGTGAATGATAAGAAAGAAATCCTATTTGAAAGAGTGTTAAAGTGCTTTAAAAATGTGGTGGTTACCTAAGGCTCTTCATCTTGTAGGAGCCTGGATGACTCATGCCACTTATGTGTGCACAGTAATTGCTGAGATCACTGGGCTTAGGCCAGAGTGTTTGGAGCCTACCACTCAGTTCTCAAGAGGGTACAGGGTGAAGCAGGAACAGACTATGACGTCTTCTTATTGATTGTTATGTAAGCCATTTGTTTATTAATCTAAAACTAGATTTGTTCGGTTCCCTCTTTCTTAAAAGTATAATCCAGATGAATGGTGTTTTTAATAGCTCTGTTCCCCTCTCCCTGTCTACTATCATTTCACAATGCCTGACATTCCAATACAAAGAATTCAGGTCTTTCTTTAGTCTGAAAATAGCTTTGGGGGGGAAGGGAGTGAGAAGTGGGACACCATAAAGTAGCTATCAGCCAGAGAGATGATTTAGTATATCAATTCCTGGAAATGATGATGGTGGAGACATGGGGTTCTGAGTAGGCTACCTGGGTGCAGATTCTTTGTGCAAATTATTTAGCCTTTCTGTTTCTCTGCTCCCTTGTACATGACATGAGGATAATGACACTATCTAGCCGTTGCCATTAGGATGTAATGCACAACGATATATCAGGAACACAGTGTAGTTCCTGCCAGACAGTAATAAATGATTGCTATTATTATTTCTACTCAAGGCCAAGTAGGAATGGAGGGATATTCTGTAGTGGGAACTAGGAATGGGGAGAGGGAAATTTTGAGATAGGAATAAATACAAGCATCTAAATTTTAATTTTTGTTTTCTTTTTGGTTACAAGCTGGACCTGGTAATAGCATCTCTGGCCTGCTCTCTGAGCCAACATTTCAGTACAGAATAATAGATGCCCGCATCACCTGACTCTGGAGTAATGGGCAATACGGGCTTCACTGATAAATGAAGCTTACTCTTCTGTTTCCTACCTACTGAATTTGGTGTTTGTTGTTTTCTCTTTAGATTGTAAGCTAGTTGAGGACAAAGAATCTGTTTCATTTATCTTTTAATTTTTGTCACTAGCCCAGTGCCATGGGTACATACTTGATGCTAAATAGCATATGCTCTTTAAATGAAAAAACAAAATAATATCTGGGTTCATTGGCTATTTCCTGGGGAAAATTAATTGCCTATATGTGTAGGCAGATGCATTTACATATTCATATACACAGCTGAATTATTTGGGTCATCATGATTCGATGCCAAATTCTATGTGCAAACTTGAGCACATTCCCGAAATACTTGGATCTGCTACTGGTCAATCGAATTCACTTCTCCCTCAATTCTAGAGAAAACAAAATCCTAAGCAAAATGGTATGAGCCATTTAAACTCCTCAAAAAAAAAAACCCTCAAAACATGGAAATGTTACCCACTAGACCATAAGATGAACCATTTGAAGATGGTGATTTGGGAAATAGAGTGCTAGATTTTTATTGACAATGAGAGAATATGATATTAAAACAAAAGAAGACATTTGGTGAAAGAGGCAGCCAATTCTATCTTTGAGATTCAGTTTTTTTAAAAAACATCAGATAAAGTGGGGAATTTCCTGAAGTGTCCTGTCAATTTGTTCAGAAAGGTTAATATGGTAGAGTCAGCCCTTAAATTGATTTCCAGGGTGTACCTTAATTGCATTACTTTTCAGCAAAATGTTTCTGTCAGTCAGAAAATGTTTTTAGGACGAATCTGGTTGGGAAAGCTGAGATCAAAGAGAACTGAGTTCTCCAATCATAAGTACAGCAGGGATCTGTATTGTGCTTCAGGGAGAAAGTGCCTCACATGGAAAATGTGGGGCTTGGGTGGGGCTTGGCTCTGGGAACTCTTTGGGCAGTGAGTTTATACTGATATATTATCTTTTAGGAGAAGTCCTGATGAAGCTGAAAGAATAAGACATTGTGCATTATAGTCTTCGTCCCTCTCCCACCCCACAGTTTGTTTATTTTGAAGGTTTATGATCTGGGGTAAGACATATCTTCCTCCTGTATCTTGGTTTCCTTGACTAGGAAATGTAAGAGCTAGACTGGATGTCATCAAAGACCCTTCTTTTGCTCCAACACTCTTTGTGAGTATATAAATTTTACCCACAAATCCTTTTTTGGGGCCTTCAGTGGTTTGGGAGATGTTTACAAAGTAGAGATATTTGATGTCTTTAGAAGCAAAACTATTTCTCATCCAGGAAATATCCAAGATGCTGCATGAAACATCTAGCCTTGGAGATGTGGGGCAGTCAGGGAGGTTCCAGAAAGAAGCACCAGGGTAAGTTGAACATCTTTCCCCTTTGCTCTCCCCCATCTATTGTGGGGCTGTTCTGAGATCACTATATTTTCATGGTGAAAAGTGGGGAGCTTTCTGGGAGGTGGGGGAGAGTAGAAGGTGGTAGAAGACTGGAAAGATTTCAGCCTGAGGGAAAGAGACATACACAGGTTTCAGTGTGTTTGTGCAATAAACACCTATTCAGAACCTCGTCCTTCTTGGGCATTCGATTTAACTCTGCAGAGCACAGATAAGGTTCTTGCCTTCATGAAGCTTATAACCGAGGGCAGGAGAGAAATGAGTAAATGGGCAATCATATTACTTATGATGCCAAGGGGAAGGGCAAGGCCTGTTGACACCTAGATGTCTACATACACACCCGAAGGTGATAAGACAGCAAGCCATGTCCAATGATTGGAAAGCAGTCCAGTATGGCTGGAAAATGAGAGCAAATAGCAGAGTGAATGGTGGATGGACCACAGAAATCAGATTCTGGGGGGCCTCTTTAAGCCATGGGAAGGCATTTGGTGTTTAATTTAAATGTAAGAGGAGGCTCTGAACAACTCTAAACAGAGGAGTGACCTGATCATTTTTTAAAAATTGATTTAAAAAAATAAATGATAGCAGAATGCATTACAATTCTTATTACATGTATACAGCACCGTTTTTCATATCTCTGGTAGTATATATAGTATGTTTGCACCCCAATTCGTGTCTTCAACCATGTACTTCGGGTAATGATGTCTATCACATTCCACCATCCTTGATAATCCCCTGCCCCCTCTTTTTTTTTTTTTTTAAGAAAAATAACTTCTGGTTAAAGAGTGAAGAGTGTGTTGGAGTAGGCCAGTCTAGATATGGGGAAGGGTGGGAGAGAGGGATAGAAGGCTTTTGGGATGTAGAGGAAAGGGAATGGTGGCTAGGATTAGGATGGGGACAGTGGGATTGGAGAGGAGTGATTGATTCAAGAGAAGTTCGGGAGGTAGATATGCAAGATTTAATCAATCATATCATGTAGGGAGTGAGGGAAGAAAGAGTTCAAGGTGGCATCCAAAGGCTCTGGCTTGGACATCTAGGTGTCAATGTTCCATTCTTTTTGCTTTATGGATAACACTGAGGTTTAAGTGGCTGACTGCTCTACCCTGGCTATCGGGAACTCCAACCATTAACCTCTCATCTGGGGTCTTATCCTTCCTTCTTTATCTTCCCTGGGAGAGCACTTTTGGGGAAAATTTAGTGGAGCCAATTGACTATAAGAGCTGCAAATCTGGCCAAGACAGCCTCTATTTGGACTTTAATTCCCTTTCTGAGTCATGGTAAAGACTACTGCCAAAGAGGTTTTTCGTGATGATAAAAAAACTTTCTAGAAAAGACAAGCCCCCCACAGGACAATTGAAGCACTTTCTACTTGGTTTTCCCAATCAGCCACTTGGCTGCCTCAGGACTCTTCCCAAATTAGCTTTTCATTGTCTCCAATAATTCTCATTTTCAGGTTTATAGCAAAATATTCTATAAAGACTTTGGGAGTTGGAGTAGAGATGGGTGCAAATGGGTCTTTTGTGGCAGTGTGTTATGAACTTGTAGATATCCCCTCCATTGTTGACTCCAGGCAAAATGCTCTTGGGCAAATTTCTCACATTGAGTGTGAATGTAAAGCAAGTGTTACTTTTGCAAGGCAGTCTTTCATTATGTGCTTATCTGACAACGAAAGTCTTTGCTCTAGCTTAAGCAATATCTTTTAGTAGGTGGAGGAACTGCTTTTCTGGGATTCAGGATCTTTCTTTTTAAATTTATATAAGAATTACCCATTTTATTTTGGAAAAGTGGAAAAGAATTAAGTAATACAAGGAAAAAGGTAAGATTGCCTGTAATCATGCCTCTTAGAGGTAAGAACGAGTAACAATGAGTGGTGTACCCTTGAATCTTATTTCTAAGTTATTTATTTTTTTTCAGATGGTTTTCTGAACTCTACTCTGCAGCTGCTTCCTTCACACAGGCTCGGACCATGTCTATCTCATTTACCCTCTGAAAGTCAGACCTACTGCAGATCCTGGTACATCAGAATTGTCAGTACGGTATTGTAGAAGAAATGAATTTGTGTGTGTGTCTATTCATATTCTATGTTGGCATCTAGTTCATGGTTTCTGCTGGTTTTCAGCTTGGCTTACCTGATATTCCTGAACTTTGAGTCAGCAGGAAGGGAAAAGTGAGTTAATTCTGCAGTTAGAGATGGTATGGTAATTTTCACAGGGTAGCTCTATGATTTGAGAGCAGGTGCTCAGTTAATATACCTTGGAGAAGGCTAGTGGGAGGTCCTTTTGGGATTGTTTTGGAATTGTTTGTACAGCAGAAGAGCTAATAACCATCACTGCCTCTGAGAATCAGCCTTTTCTCCATGAGCATATGTTTCCAAGCTGAAATTTTTCTCCATGTGACCCCTAGGGCTCCTGACCCTGGTCAATTGGAAGAGGGGAACAGACTTAATAAAAGACATTTACATTTTCTCTCTTTTAAATTAAAAAGACATAAAACACAAAATTGTACCTATTAATAGGGTACCATGTGATATTTTGATACATGTATACATTGTGTAATGTTTAGCATCAGGTTAAATATATCTATCTCATTTATCATTTCTAAAACATTCAAACTCCTTCCATCTTTTTGAACTACACAGTACATTAATGTTACTCTCTCCTGGGAATTTAGAATTGAGACTGCTATTTGTGAGTGAACCTTTAACATGGACCTTGGGAGCTGCAAAGTAGATGTATTTTTTTTTTTTTACCATGGGGATTGTGAATCCAGAAGTCCACTGACTAGAGGTATGAAGGTTATGCAAAGATGAGCACAGAATGGAAGGACCCTAATGCTCTTTATATCCTTCACCCAGTTCCTTTTTCAGACCAGTTACATTGCTGCTATGAAGTTTCATGAGGTTCTAGAAATTTTCTCTCCCCACTTTTTTTCTGGTTAGCTTGAGTTGGTTTCTGCTACTTGCAACCAAAGACTCTTTGTAAAATGTGTAACATACTAGTTTCCTGGCAAAATACAGGTTTTGACGTAGCTTTCTCTCCTGTATGACTCCTGAGTATAGCTCTTTTATTGCATGGCTTGGGTGTGCCATTTATATGGCAGCTTTCCAGAGGTGATGTCCAATTAGCTCAGTGGTGGCTCTGGACAGCTGTGCTTTGGCTATTACTCACCGTGCAGCTTTATTCTGTGGCTAGTATTAGAAAAAAAAAAAGCTTAGAGATAATTGCACCCAGTTCCCTTCCTAACCAAAGCTGCTTTGACTTGGTATTGTGCCAAGCATAGCAGCTCAGCTATGAGGGATTCAATCCCTCTAAGAAACATATGATTAGAATCAGGAACACTGATAGCATTTTATAACCTGCTGAGAGCAATGTTTTTTCTATAAATAATGTTCATGAATATCTTACATTTTCTATAAATCTAGTTCTGAACTCAAGATATTTTGGCAAGAATTACATAGCACTTTGGGGCTTTCATCACATGCTGCTCTCTGAATTTAGTAACGGAGTGAATGCTTTCTGAACCAAATTCTTGCTTGTTTAAAGAAATAAAGAACTATGTTTTCAAATCGAAGTCATTTAAAGATCCTGCAGCTGTTAAAATGGGGGAATAAAAACAACCTAGCCATATTTGGGCTAAGTCTCCATAGCAGAAGAAAGTCAGAAAGTTCAGAAAACTGACTGACCAAACCATGGATAAAGAATCCTTGGAAGGGCTGTGTTACTTCAGGTTTCTTTCCTATAAAATGAGATTGAAATAGCACCTATTTCAGAAGGCTTTGTGTCTATTAAATGGGATAGTCTACTTGGTGTAGTGATGGGGCATGGTAAAAACAAATTGAATGTATATTTATATAGTCCTTAAAGAAAAGGGAGGGGGCAGTAAATCATGTTTGCTTATGCTTCCTTTCCATTCCTCAAAACCTAGCCAATCGTTCCCTTCATGGGAACGATGAGAGCAAGCCTGGGTAGGAATCTCCAGGTACATATTATCTTGGAGGACGCTGGCTTTCTTTTATGGACACTGGGATCTAGCGCAAGTTAGTGTTGTCCGTAGAAAGCCACTTTCTTTCATGCATGTCAAGACAGTCACTTCTTGGGATGCAGGTCAGACAAGCAAAATAAACACACTCATGACTTCGATGTCACTGCTTCTGCAGCCTATCAGCTGAAACTCCTCCCTCAGTGATGACTGTGTGGAACTGAAGGCACTGTGGAAAGGATGCATGTCATCCTTCCAGCGGATAGGACAAAAACACCACGAGGAGAGAGGCACTCTTTGGCAAAGCCCAGTGAGGAACTCTCTGAACTGTCCTTGGAGCAGTCACTGTTCTCTTGTAAGGGTTCCACAATAAATCACATCTTGCATGCCATCTCTAGGCACTCTCTTTGGCCTCTCTGCGACCTATCCCACTCACCCCAGCATAACTGGGCTATGGACATGTCACAGTGCTTATTTGTATTTGGTGTCCAGATGAAGTCTACTGAGGAGGGTACGCACCACAGGATGATCTTCTGTTAATTTAATAGTCTTCTGGAATTGAATTAGATACAGGATACTCTTACGAGCTACTTCTAGTGACAGTATGGCTCTCTCTGGCCCCAATCTAAGAATGGTCTTTAAATGTTTTATGATAACAATGTTGAATGAACTTCACTGGAGCTCTGAAAAAAAAAAATCTTTTTACTCTTTTGTTTTCTGGGGCTAATTACAGATGACCACCCCGCCCTAGCATATTTCAAGACAGGATCACTCTTCCTTTTAAGTTCCACAAAACTCAAGGAGGACTCCCTTGTCTATTCCTGGTCCCCTTCCCTTTTCTTGAGTTTTCCTTGAGTTTTAGTTAATGTTGATCCTATTACAATAGCGTGAAGATGATCATCACCTTAACTGTCGGATTCATTTTGGTTTTGGCCCAAGATTATTTAAAAGCAAAAACAAATGGGGCTTGGATGAAACTCAGGGATAGATCCCTTGCCCGGCACGTGCAAGGTCCTGGGTTTTATCCCTAGCACCACAGGGAAGAGAAAAAAAAGCACAAAACCAACCAAACAAAATGCATACATATGCCTAAAACACTTCCTATTTGGCATGTCAGAAAGTTTGCTGACCTCTGTCTAAGATGAAAGGGTCCTGATCCAAAGCCCTCCACCAGCCATTGATACACCTTTGTCAACATGTCGACATGTCAGGTGATGCTATTCCAACTCAGATATGCCATGAGGCAAGAGTGGTCCAATAACCAATGCAGTGGGGAGAAGGAAATGAGAATCTGAAAATTACAGCAGATGAAGCACAGTCAAGGGTATTTGTGGGGGATGTGTCCCTTACATTATCTTGTTTAATTCTGTCACAATCTTACATTTATTTATCATCATTATTTAAGTGATAAATGATTATTTATCATTTGGTATTTTTTGACCCAATTTTACAGGTTAGATAATTGAGTTTGGAGAATGTAAGTCACGTTCCCAAACTCACAGAGCTAATAACTAGAATGTGAGTCTTAAATTGAATTCGTGAATCTGACTCTAGAGTCCACATTTTTTAAAATTAATATAATTATGTTCGAGAATTTGCAGCTTCTGTGTGTAGAATAATGAGTATATCTGGGTGCTCCATTAGGAAGATGGAATGAGCCAGACTCTAGCTCATTAAACTGAAAATCTTTCAACAACTAGGGTTCCCTAACCAGCAACCAGGTCTGTGACAATCTCCACCTTGCACTTTGTGTGTTTAAAGATATGATTCTAAGATTAAAAAAAAATTCTGTAAATATTGCTGCAAAATATTTTAGTGTCTAAATGTAGATTTTTGCAAGATTTCCATCAATGATTGTCCATGGTGAGTGGAATGTGAGCATAGGCCAACCAGAGGGATTTTATCATTCTAAATATTCTGATGAGTTTCAATACCTTTGAGATTCACTCTTGAAATTGGCTAAGATCTAGACATATCCCCACATAAATTCCTTCAATAACAAACTGCTAATGTTGTTTTCAGGAGAAATCCACTTAAGCTTTTCAAGAATGGACATGTGCAGAAGTCAGTAAAGTCTCTCAATGACCTTTTGACACCATCAGCTCAAACTCTCCAGTGCAGAACATGACAACTCTACCCCTAAAGAAACCTGCGTCTTAATAAGAGCCGTGATGACTACCTATGTTGGTGTAAAAGAACCCGAAAACTCTCCTTCTTGCCATACCATCAACAAGCACTGTCTCCCCTTTCCCTTCTATAAATTCCCCTACTACCAATGATGGGAAATGAAGATTTTAGCTTCTCTGGCTTTTGTCCTTCCTGCTGGTCAACCTTGCAATAACGCTCTTCCTTTTTGCAAAAAGCTGTGCCCCAGTATTGGCTTCTGTGCATACCAGGCAGTGAGGCCTTGCTTGACATTCTTTTTACCCTGTGGGGGAGAGGGTGGGGCATGTCCTTGGGTTTTCAAGATGAAAAAAATTATCGGAGTATCATTGCTCAGATACATGAACCACATGTGATAACTTGAAAAAACAAAACTCCAAGATTAATTTGCGTCATAATCCAGAAGAGTAGTAGTATCACTTTGTTCCATTGAAAAATATTTAATATTATTTTTTTCTACTTTGCATTCTTCCTTTCAAATAACCCCATTCCCTGAAACCAGTTTTGAAGTGGGGGATATTCTTTTTTCTCTGCCTCTTCAGAACGGTTTTGAATTTATTTCCACCATTTCCCTTCCTTGAAAGCACCCCATTGTAGGTTTTCTTCAGTCATTTCAAAATTCATTGAAAGGTTGCTTTTGTTTTTGTTTTTTCTCTCCCTCCGTGTTTATTTAGAAATAAAAATTGTTAAAGAAATCCCAGACTATGCTCTTGTATGGATGTGTTAATTTGATAGAAATTATTTATATATTTTTGTCTTACCTTGCTGGCCACTTACCCTGTGATTTAGGAGTAAATAACTAGCTTTCACCAGTCTTTGAAATCGTGATTAGAGGTCAATTTTTCTAGAAATAGCATGTTGTTGAAATATTGGCTCCTGAGAAGAAAATTACATCTTTTGTTTTTAAATGCAAAAGTTTACTTTTGAGCTACAAGATTAATGTTTTATGATATTCTGAAAATTTTGAATGTGTATGGAGGACTTATTTAGGTTTTAAAATTATTCTACTTCACATGTCAGAAGAGGGTCTGTTAATTTTAAGTAGCTGCTGCCCTAGGCAGAGAAATCTTTTTGATATTCAAAGTCTGTTTATAAACATTGTTTTTTTTCTTCGATGGATGTAACTTGACTGGATATTTCAGAGACGTTTCAATTGGAATAAAAATGATTAGAGATTAACATTCAACAATGCCTGAAGGTTATGATTGGGACCTGTATTTGTTATCAC